TTACGGGCTGCTTCTTTTCTGTGTGTGTGTGTGTGTTCACCTAGTTGTATTCATCTAGTTGTTCTTGCGGGGGTTGAGCTCTGGTCTGTCGGCCCGACTCTCAACTGCCAATCAATCAACTGTAATTAACTACTATTTTTTCCACTCACACACAGAAAGCAGCTCCGTAGCAGCTGTCTAACTCCTAGGTACCTATTTACTGCTAGGTAACAGGGGCATGAGAGTGAGAGATACTTTGTCTTTGTTTCTGCCTGGTCCAGGAATCGAACCCGGGCCACAGAATTACGAGTCCTGCGCGCTGTCCACTCAGCTACCAGACCCTCGGATGGGATATATATGTGTGTGTGTGTGTGTGTGTGTATGTGTGTGTGTGTGTGTGTGTGTGTGTGTGTGTGTGTGTGTGTGTGTGTGTGTGTGTGTGTGTGTGTGTGTGTGTGTGTGTGTGTGTGTGTGTGTGTGTGTGTGTGTGTGTGTGTGTGTGTGAAAAATAGTTAGTAGCGTGTGTGTTAAAAAAAAATAGTTAAAAATAGTAACAGTTGATCGATTGATAGTTGAGAGGCTGGCCGAAAGAGCAGAGCTCAACCCCCCTCCCCCCCCCCACAAGCAAAATTAGGTGAATGCAAGTAGGTAAATACATTGGTACCCAATAACCTCACGGCCAGGTATTAACCTCATAGTCATATGTTAACCTCATGATCATACATACATACATACATACATACATACATACATACATACATACATACATACATACATACATACATACATACATACATACATACATGCATGCATACATACATACATACATACATACATACATACATACATACATACATACATACATACATACATACATACATACATACATACATACATACATACATACATACATATATTTTGACGACATACATTCGTCCTCAATAAACATTCCTTTCATACAGAAACACCAATCAATGCACAAACATTTAGGATACATAACATAAACAACACACACACTCCAAGCACAACACACACACTCCAAGCACAACACACACACTCCAAGCACAACACACACACTCCAAGCACAACACACACACTCCAAGCACAACACACACACACACCAAGCACAACACACACACTCCAAGCACAACACACACACTCCAAGCACAACACACACACTCCAAGCACAACACACACACTCCAAGCACAACACACACACTCCAAGCACAACACACACACTCCAAGCACAACACACACACTCCAAGCACAACACACACACTCCAAGCACAACACACACACTCCAAGTACAACACACACACTCCAAGCACAACACACACACTCCAAGCACAACACACACACTCCAAGCACAACACACACACTCCAAGCACAACACACACACTCCAAGCACAACACACACACTCCAAGCACAACTCACACACTCCAAGCACAACACACACACTCCAAGCACAACACACACACTCCAAGCACAACACACACACTCCAAGCACAACACACACACTCCAAGCACAACACACTCATACAACACATACATATCAAATACATTATTAACCCATAACAAGAGATCACGGGGAAAGTATATAGCCAACAGACTCGGAGTCTGCTTCGCCATACTCCCTCACTAAGTATAAACACTCCACACATGCACTCATAAAAAGCACTCCACACATGCACTCATAAAAAACATCTTTATATCTGAGTCTTGACTTGTCTGTCAAGCGGTGCCGACGCTGTGGGTTCTAAAACAGCTTGGAATGTTCAATGGCCCTCATCACCAGCCAAACCTCTCAACTAATGCGTCGTTATGGTACCCAAACGTCCCAAATGCAATGTGCTATGAACGTATAGTGACTTCCACCCTAAAATCTACGTTTTCTATCCATGGGTTAGGATTGGACGATGGATTGTGTACGTAGTGGAAAATCGTAAGAGAAAGGGAAGGGTTTAGGACTGCGAGTGGGAATCGTAATATGTAAACACTGTGGGGGTTAAACTTGGAATGATTTTAGGGTTTTATCTGTGGTTTTACGCTCCAAAAGTTGCAGAGCGGATGTGGTGGGCTTTTCCCTACTCTCTGTGGTGTAATTCGATTCTGTTTTCATTTTCCAGGAGGGATGCAGACACGAACAAGTAAATACACAAGAATATTTACATACAAACACACACACACACACACATACATACATACACAAAAGAAGGGAGAGAGGAGATATGATAGGGACATATAAAATACTCAGGGGAATTGACAAAGTGGAAATAGATGAAATGTTCACACGTAATAATAACAGAACGAGGGGACATGGGTGGAAACTGGAAACTCAGATGAGTCACAGAGATGTTAGGAAGTTTTCTTTTAGCGTGAGAGTAGTAGAAAAATGGAATGCACTTGGGGAACAGGATGTGGAAGCAAATACTATTCATACTTTTAAAACTAGGTATGATAGGGAAATGGGACAGGAGTCATTGCTGTAAACAACCGATAGCTAGAAAGGCGGGATCCAAGAGTCAATGCTCGATCCTGCAAGCACAAATAGGTGAGTACACACACATGGAATGCATTAGGAAGTGATGTGGTGGAGGCTGACTCCATACACTGTTTCAAATGTAGATATGATAGAGCCCAGTAGGCTCAGGAATCTGTACACCAGTTGATTGACAGTTGAGAGGCGGGACCAAAGAGCCAAAGCTCAACCCCTGCAAGCACAATTAGGTGAGTACACACACACACACACACACACACACACACACACACACACACACACACACACACACACACACACACACACACACACAAACACACACACACACGAACAAACACGCTCCTGTTCTAAATATACATTAACGACCTGACAGAAAAAATTGGTTTTAACATATCAGTGCTTTCTGACGATGCAAAACAAATTACAAGATGTTGAACAACGGGGAACTGTAATATATATTGCTATAGAGGTCATCTGGGAAATGGCCTATAGACTTCAACCCATACAAATGCACAGTTATGAGGACTGAAGCAGGAATGAGACGTGTATTACAGCAGTATAGAATAACAGTCATAAGACATAAAGGAGAAAGAACAGTGATCCACCACACGAGGCGAAAATTAACCCAAACATTCGAGCACCATTGGCAAGGAATCCAACCAAACTATGCATAACCTCCTCGTCTGACACCAGGAAGGTTCGTATCGGGTTCCAGCTTCTGGCCCCCCGCCTGCCTGTAATAAGGATTGTTTAGGTTTTGGTAACTATGTTTGAAGCAATCCGGAAAAAACGCAAGTCTCACTTCCTGTGGTTGAATTCCACCTCACAACGCTTGTAAAGGACTGGCCCGCCCTGGCAATTGGCCAACATCATCCGCTCCACTGAGAGTTTGACTCTCCAGAGCGTAAAATACTATTCGCATTGTGTAAAGATATTTATTGTGTTATAACTATGGGTTTTTGGTGTGTGTGTGTGTGTGTGTGTGTGTGTGTGTGTGTGTGTGTGTGTGTGTGTGTGTGTGTGTGTGTGTGTGTGTGTGTGTGTGTGTGTGTGTGTGTGTGTGTGTGTGTGTGTGTGTACTCACCTAATTGTGCTTGCGGGGGTTGAGCTCTGGCTCTTTGGTCCCGCCAAAGTCCCGCTTTGGTTGGTTTGGTTTGGTCTCTTTGGTCTCTTTGGTCCCGGGGGTTGTGTGTGTGTGTGTGTGTGTGTGTGTGTGTGTGTGTGTGTGTGTGTGTGTGTGTGTGTGTGTGTACATCAGAAGCAATGCATCTTTAATATATATATATATATATATATATATATATATATATATATATATATATATATATATATATATATATATATATACCTAGGTTACCTTTGTAAAGCTAAATATATTACAATAAACTAACCATAAAAATAAACCATCCTAGGCCTAACATACGCCATCTTAGGTCTAATTTAATACACTTATGTACTATAATAGGCATAGGGAAAGTGAGATTTGGTTGTTGTTTTCTTTCGCTGCTTCTCTTTAAAATTATTTATTTACAATTTGGTTTTTTTAGGCATAACAGCGTGCTTTTGTACAGCTACTGACAGTAGCTGCTGGTACTGTCAGTGTTGCCTGACAAGTAGGCCTTTTCTGCAACTTTTGAGTGACTATGGCCATGGATCTAATTGCCTACGGCTCTGCTGCAATTTGCAGTCATATGTGTAATACATTTGTGCATTTGTGCTATGGGGAGCCGGTCGGCCGAGCGGACAGCACGCTGGACTTGTGATCCCGGGTTCGATCCCGGGCGCCGGAGAGAAACAATGGGCAGAGTTTCTTTCACCCTATGCCCCTGTTACCTAGCAGTAAAATAGGTACCTGGGGTCACAGGCTGCTTCCTGGGGGTGGAGGCCTTGTCGAGGACCGGGCCGCGGGGACACTAAAGCCCCGAAATCATCTCAAGATAGAACACGAATATATGCATTCATGCATTCTCTGTGTGTGTACTCACCTAGTTATACTTACCTATGTGTGTTTGCGGGAGTTGAGCTCTGGCTCTTTGGTCCCGCCTCTCAACCGTCAATCATCTGGTGTGTGTGCTAACCAAGCTGTGCCTACAGGGCTGAGCGTCAGCTCCTGAGCACCGGCTCTTTAGTTGGTAATCCCGTAATGCAATCTTTCTCGATCACTTAACATTAAATTAAGTTCCGCCCAAACGTCTCCGTTCGGTCCCATCCATGAAAGCAGAAATCAAAGCAATTTAAACGCGCGAAAATAACAACAATTCACATTAACAGTCGAAAAGCTCAAAGTTCTTTGAAAACAGTAAGAAATGGTATGTTGGAAATACCTGAGAGAGGTATGTACTCCTCCACATCATCGCTATTCTATAAACAAACCTAACCTAACCTAGCCTAACTTATCCTAACCTGTCCTGCCTGAACCTATCCTGCTTTTCTGTACGGCTAGTACCAGGTGCGTGACGTCACTATGACGTCACAACCTTCAAGCCAATACTGACTGGAGATTCACTGCTCGGAATCATGCGCAGTGGCTAGCGTGAGGTACTTCCGTAGCGCCGGTGTGCACAGCACCAGTATGGCGCGAGCCGCGGTGGTGACAGTATCCCTGTTGCTGCTCTCTGTCTCAAGCGTTCCAGAGGGCGGTGAGTGTCTCAGCGTTTAAAAGATTTCAGATTCATTTAGTTATTATGCACCTCATACCCATCTCGTGGGATGGGTATGGGGGTGTTTTTAATTTTGGTGTTTAATTTGGGTTTTGTATTATATCGTTGAGTGCTAGTCGTGTTATTCGTTACTAGAGTCGTGTTATCCGGTGTTAGAGTCGTGTTATCCGTTTTTAGAGTCATACTACCTAGAGTCATCTGCTTTTTAGTCTTGTGTATGTATGTATGTATGTATGTATGTATGTATGTATGTATGTATGTATGTATGTATGTATGTATGTATGTATGTATGTATGCATATAGTGAGTTTTAGACTTTTTTAATATTTCTTAAGCATCCAAGCAACTAAAACCAGGCTGTTACGTCTTATTAACGAGTGACGTAACAAACTTTTTGACCTGCATTAGATACTCAAATTCAAATAAATAAATAAATCTATATTCATCAATGGTCGCACAGATACTCACGAAAATATAATCAGAGGATGTAACGATGCAAAGATTACCTTATGTATGATTTACATATTTAGATTTACCGATTTAGATTTAGATTTTTTTGAAGTTGTGACACTTGTTAGTCACAGGCCATCACTATGGCAACCAAGATCATCACTATGGCAACCAAGATCATCACTATGGCAACCAAGATCATCACTATGGCAACGAAGATCATCACTATGGCAACCAAGATCATCACTATGGCAACGAAGATCATCACCATGGCAACGAAAATCATCACTATGGCAACGAAGATCATCACTATGGCAACCAAGATCATCACTATGGCAACGTAGATCATCACCATGGCAACGAAGATCATCACTATGGCAACGAAGATCATCACTATGGCAACGAAAATCATCACCATGGCAACGAAGATCATCACTATGGCAACGAAGATCATCACTATGGCAACGTAGATCATCACCATGGCAACGAAGATCATCACTATGGCAACCAAGATCATCACTATGGCACGTAGATCATCACTATGGCAACGAAGATCATCACTATGGCAACGAAGATCATCACCATGGCAACGAAGATCATCACCATGGCAACGAAGATCATCACCATGGCAACGAAGATCATCACTATGGCAACGAAGATCATCACTATGGCAACGTAGATCATCACCATGGCAACGAAGATCATCACTATGGCAACGAAGATCATCACTATGGCAACGAAGATCGTCACTATGGCAACGAAGATCGTCACTATGGCAACGAAGATCATCACTATGGTAATGAAGATCATCACTATGGCAACGAAGATCATCACTATGGCAACGCAGATCATCACTATGGCAACGAAGATCATCACTATGGCAACGAAGATCATCGCTATGGCAACGAAGATCATCACTATGGCAACGTAGATCATCACTATGGCAACGAAGATCATCACTATGGCAACGATGATCATCACCGTGGCAACGAAGATCATCACTATGGCAACGAAGATCGTCACTACGGCAACCAAGATCATCACTATGGCAACCAAGATCATCACCATGGCAACGTAGATCATCACTATGGCAACGAAGATCATCACTATGGCAACGAAGATCATCACTATGGCAACGAAGATCATCACTATGGCAACGAAGATCATCACTATGGCAACGAAGATCATCACTATGGCAACGAAGATCATAACTATGGCAACGAAGTTCATCACAAACTATAGCCTCCGAAGATTATCACCATTATTGACCCATGATCATCACTATATGGCCCCGAAGATCATGACCCCATGACCCCCACTATCGCTCGCAGTTGCATGTTCCTCCCGCGGTGAGACATGGGTTTATGATCATAAATAATGATAAATTAATATTGATCAATATTGATCAATATTACAAAATATTGCCATATTTTGTGGCTGTATATTAACCACCATTACCACTTCGTTCACATCCCCCTCTATCATGTCCTGTAGATAGATTAATGTATAGTAGTTATACAGATAGACAGTAGATAATAAGTGGTCTATTTCTATGAAGAATTCAAATCACTACATAATTAAATTGGATGTATTTTTTTTTTACCTTTTTTAGGTTCGTTGTTACAGCCATGGAGAAAGACAACGCAAGCAACGGTAACGAAGACTTTGGGGATACAATAAGGTAGGTCTTACCTTCGTGGGTATGTGTTGTGTATCTTAAAGTAGTTTTACCTTTGTGTGAGTGTGTGTTGAATATATTCAAGTAGGTCTTATCTTTGTGGGTGTGTGTTGAGTATATTAAGGTAGGTCTTATCTTTGTGGGTGTGTGTTGAGTATATTAAGGTAGGTCTTATCTTTGTGGGTGTGTGTTGAGTATATTCAAGTAGGTCTTATCTTTGTGGGTGTGTGTTGAGTATATTAAGGTAGGTCTTATCTTTGTGGGTGTGTGTTGAGTATATTAAGGTAGGTCTTATCTTTGTGGGTGTGTGTTGAGTATATTAAGGTAGGTCTTACCTTTGGGGGTGTGTGTTGAATATATTAAGGTAGGTCATAATATATTCAACACACACAGGTATAACGTATAGCACTATACCACTATATGCTTTATTGGAGCATGTTGTAAATACTATCACCCAAAAAAATGTAATATAGCACTCAGAGATGTTCCAAAAGCCTTTTTTCCAAAAGCATAAAAACTTGTTCCTGTGACCTACATAAATTACATAACTAACAAGTGAGTAAATTCATTGATTTTCATTAACGTGGTTTACTATTGTTCATTTTATGTAGTATCTCTGACATACCGTTAAATAAACACTGTGTATAACACGTAAATGAAGATTTATATTAGTAGATCGGAAAAAGCTAAAATCTGTGTTGTTATCTCTGGATATAAGCAATTCAAATAGATACGAATGAATACTGTGGTCAATTTGTACATTGAGAGGTGTACTACCTACCCTGTACAGCTGGTTCTGTACTACCTACCCTGTACAACTGGTTCTGTACCACCCACCTGGTGTAACACACCCCCGTACCAGGCACCCAGTATCACCCACCTATCACCCTGTACCAATACTACCTACCCAGTCCTACCTATCAAGAACAACTTACACAGTATCACTACACCCAGTACCACCTACCAATACTCTTCACCAGTTCCACCGACCCTGTACTACCCATCCCACGTTTGGGTGAATATGCATTAAAAGTCTACTTTAGCTCTGTACTATGTTCAGTACTAAAGTACACTATGGTGGTCAGAAAGCAGTTGACAGGACCAACACCGAACTGAACCAAGCACACGAACACACACACCCATCTTGTACACACAGCTGTGTTGTCAATAGAGGGCAGCACCATCACCCCCATTTTCTGTGGGCGGGTTTGTTTACAAATTGTAACAGTGGGAGCTGGCGCAGCAGAAGTGGAAACTGTCTGTCTGTGAAGATTTACCATTAGCCTCTCCTCTCCCTTCTCCACCCCCACCCTGCCATATGCAACAAAAAATTATATATTATGAAGTTCATTGATATATATTTAATATATGACCAAGATAAAGAACAGGTGGTTTAAAGGTCTAACTTAATCCAATCTCTTTTGGTCCTGGATAATTCCTATCAAACGTATGTGATTTATTTAATGCCGATGAAACAATATTGAGGTATTGTAGTGCAATTGAACTCGCGTCTCTGGAATCTCCCAAAACATGCACAACTTACTTGACCATTACTGAGCTTATAATTGGCATAACCACATTTTTTCTGAACTTTCATGAAGTACTCAATCAAGTTTTTATATGAGACCCGTCAACTCTCTGGGTTAGGAAAGGTCAAATCCCCACAACCCACCCCCACAACCTTGGCCGCCGTCAATGCACCATTTAGATTTGCCTGGAAGGGATAGTTTATTGGGCAGGGTCACTCATCCTGTGAGTGAACATACCACCATAACAGCATCCCCCCAATAGGAAGAAAACCCACTGGATTGTTCATCCTGTCTATTTTTTTGTACTCAGACAAAGATGAAACTTAACCATCTCATGTAAACATGTATAATGTAATCCCAATAACGTCCTTCCAATCATCTGATTACCTTTTTTGTTTTATTAATTGTTACATATTAATCTCTAACTGCAGTAAATGCAAATAAATCACATTGCATAACGATAAATGAAGCCCTTTGCATATGACTGTTAAATATGCATATTCTGTAACAACTAATTAATCCGCTGTATTATGATCTGCATATTTGTTAAAAAATATTATATTATTATTAATTGTAATTGACAAAAATTCCAAGACTATAATTGTTTTCAATTGCATTTGTCATGAGGTAATTTTTGTTTTGTTTTTGACAGAAGATGCTTGAGTAGCAGTGCTATGGGCAACTCCACTCAAGAGGAGGAAGCGTTAGACAGCGCAATAATAACCGAGTTTACTGTAAATAAGTCTATCGCTGAAGTCAATAATGAAAATAGTGATAACCTCAACAGTGATAACGGGAACAGGCGCCAATAGACAACCGGACGTCATGCTGTTAGACAACCTGCTAACAGCATGCCACTGGACTGCTAACAGCATGCCACTGGACTGCTAACAGCATGTCACTGGACTGCTAACAGCATGCCCCCGGACTGCTAACAGCATGCCACTGGACTGCTAACAGCATGCCACTGGACTGCTAACAGCATGCCACTGGACTGCTAACAGCATGCCACTGGACTGCTAACAGCATGCCACTGGACTGCTAACAGCATGCCACTGGACTGCTAACAGCATGCCACTGGACTGCTAACAGCATGCCACTGGACTGCTAACAGCATGCCACTGGACTGCTAACAGCATGCCACTGGACTGCTAACAGCATGCCACTGGACTGCTAACAGCATGCCACTGGACTGCTAACAGCATGTCACTGGACTGCTAACAGCATGTCACTGGACTGCTAACAGCATGCCCCCGGACTGCTAACAGCATGCCACTGGACTGCTAACAGCATGCCCCCGGACTGCTAACAGCATGCCACTGGACTGCTAACAGCATGCCACTGGACTGCTAACAGCATGCCACCGGACTGCTAACAGCATGCCACTGGACTGCTAACAGCATGCCACCGGACTGCTAACAGCATGCCACTGGACTGCTAACAGCATGCCACTGGACTGCTAACAGCATGCCACTGGACTGCTAACAGCATGCCACTGGACTGCTACCAGAGTTCTGTTGGAAATTACATTAGTGAACAAGTCTGCTACCTGCAATTGCCGATTTTAGAAAAGAACAGAATTGCGTCCGAGTTTCCCATAAGTGTAAGTTTTCATTTATGGTTTAGGTTGTGTTACTTTCAGAAGATGATAAATTGAGCATTTCTTTCGTATTTCTTCAAAATTATTGGGGTTATTACTTGCTAATAACCTCAATCTTGAAGGGTTATTAGCAAGTAATAACCCCAATATGTATACATAATCATAATACATTAAATTATCAAACTTGTTGCACTTTACTCACACACAGTTTGTCGTAATTAACGGGCTCTCGGTTCAGAATCTTCTCTCAGGAGCCATATACAAAGCATTAAAGTTACTAACTTCCAAAAGGAGAAAACGAGAGGAGATACGAATATAACTGCAATGTGCAAATGCACGAAGGACTTGCATTGTAAGTAATGCAAGATGGAATCGAGATGGAACTCATCCCAAAGGATTATAACTCGATATATTTAATATCAAACAAGATATAGATTTTTGGGGGGGAGAATGAACATGAAAAAGGGTGGAAGATACTGACAGTACCCTTGATTTAGTTAATACTTTAGTAACTTAAACAAAGCAAAGACTGATACCTGAGGAAAAGTAGAGGTTATAAATAGGACCAGATGTACATAAATAAATTGGCTTTCTGCAGTTTTCCTGCAGTGCTTGAGATATGTAATTTAATTCCATGTCTATTGACAACTTCAGAGTGCAGATACGGCCATATTCACAAGCCTCTGGGTTGATATAGTGTAGCAGTGTTGATATAGTTGGTTGATATAGATACCAGTGTTGATATAGTTGGTTGATATAGACGTATTGTACACAAATGTGCCTTTATATATATTTTGTATCCATGGGATATGACCTAAATTAATAACTCTTGTTTTTGTTCCCCAAAAACCATTTGATGTCTCTATTTTCCTGACAAGTAAGGAACCCAAAGCAGGCGATAATTGTACTTGTTCACTATCTCCTTCAGAGTGTGGCTGGGACTCTGTGTCAAAGCCTTTCTGTGTTCCATTCCTCGTGTGTTCCTACCATATATATGGGAGAGATAACGCTAGTGATCTGGTTTATTTACATTTATTTCCGTTAGTTTCTGTGTTTCATGTACAAAGTTTGTATTGCACAATAGAAAAGAGATTATATATATATATATATATATATATAATCTCTTTTCTTCCCATATATATATATATGGGAAGAAAATATATATATATATACAGATATAGATATAGATATATATATATATATATATATATATATATATATATATATATATATATATATATATATATATATATATATACACACACGTACGTACAGTACAAACTACCGCTCATATGATGAGTATGGGGCGCACAATAGGCATAACATTTCGCAGGTTTGACGAAGACTGAAGCCATTGAGAATCATCACACGACCAACAGTTGGAAAAGGAAGGGGGGGCCAGGAACTGAAACTCGGCCCTGATAACTACCACGCGTAAAAAAAAAAAAAATAGATTATCTGTGTGTTATCAGCAGCAGCTCCTCTCTCTCTGTCTCTCTCTTGCTTCTCTCTCTCTCTTCTCTCGCTTCTCTCTTTCAATCTCTCTCTCCCTCTCCCTCAGTGACCCTCACTGACCCACAACCACAACAAACAAGGTGAACCATAACAAAAATAGCGGCGTCAGCTGACCCCGTGAAAATAAACAGTTAATAACACAGAAGACCCAGCTTCAAGGCAAACGAGGCCGCAGCCTTCACCCCAACAGCTGGAGTCCCCCAAGGATCATGCTTGAGCCCGGTTCTCTTCAACATCTTTGTAAATGACCTGCCCCAACCAGAGTATAGGGACACCATTATCGTGCAATTTGCGGACGACGTAACACACGTAATAACATCTAACCCTAGCAGCCAAGCGGCCAAACATGCAACTGCAACACGTAAGGCAAACGTAGAACTAGCAAGGACTGCTAACTGGGAAAGGAAATGGAGGATCACCACTAACCCAGAAAAGATTCAATTAAGCACTGTCGGCTGTATGGCCTTCTCAATTGAAAATGAAGGGGGAATAAGAATCAGGGGTGAACCCATAGCCATCTCAAACTCCAACACAGTGCTCGGTTACAACTTCAACAGGCTACTCAACTCCTCCCAGTACGTATCCCAGAAGACAGCGATGGCCCGGGGCTCACTGGCGAGGCTCTTCCGTTTCAACCAAGCCCCATCCCACATCAAGCTCCACCTGTACAGAATGATCATAAGGCCTAGCTTGGAATACCCATACGTTCCCCTGAACCTCACCAACAAATCCAACATGTTGAAGATTCAACGAGTACAAAACAAAGCACTTCGCTTTGCAGAGGGCCTGACTCTGAGGGACAGGGTGAGAACCGACCTGATCCATGAGACGCTCAACATGAAGCCAATGAACATTAGGCTCAGCTACCTGGCCAGAAGACAGCTGTACCGTATGAAGAACATGTATGTCCCAGACCCAGAAGATCCCTTCGTAGCAGAAAACACCACCAGCGACTACGAGATCCACGAACCACCACACAGAACCAGAAGAATCACTCTCCAACAAAAAGTGATCAGACATATCCATGATGAGGCCTTCCCAAGCCCTCAGATACTAAGCGGTCTGCCAGACGATCCAGATGAGTGGCCCATCCCGGACCCAATCTACACCATATGAAGAATAAAGAAAGAAAGAAAAAAAAAAATAAATAAATAATAAATAAAAAAAAAAAAAAAAAAATAAATAAATAAATAAAAAAAAAAAAAAAAAAAAAAAAAAAAAAATATATATATAAATAAAACACCTACAAAAAAATATAAAACCAAAAAACCATTTGTCGTGGCGTCAGAAGTGTAACTACCCTGATGTTTCTAAGATTAGCCTCCTTCAGCCAACTCCATCGGCTCTAGTGCTTTAGGACACCAACAAGGTCACAAACACTAGCCCCCCCAGCCAATGTACTGACAACCCAACATAACACACACGCAAACAAACAACACATACAAAAATGTCAACCCATGGTGGACAGGCCACCGAACTTTCAAACCTCCTCTCTCTCTACACCCGCATCCTCTTCCTGAATTTCATCTCCCCATCCCTCTACCTCCCCCATCCTTTCCATTCCCTATGGACATCAAAGCAAACACAGAAGATTAAACGTTGCTACGGCTACACTCTCGTGAGGTGTAAACAAAGTCTCCCTCTCAGAGATATACACCTGTGTGATGTAGCCTATATCTCTTGTTGCCGGGAGACGTGACCCCCTCTCTTGGGGCTATGTATACTTCAGAGATGTAAACCTATATTAGTGTTCACTACATAAACCACTTTTAGATTTTCATCCACTTGAGATGTAAATCTTTTTTGTGATTCAAACTCGAGATGTAAACAACTCGTAAGGATAAACGCACTCACTGTAAATGTAAAAGCTATTGTAGGCTGATGTAAACAATTCGAAATGAAAACTATTCATAGGAAGAAATATACATAAAACTGTACCTGTGTGTTGACTGTATATATAAATAACTTCAAATAATAAATTATTTTTGTTACCGGATCGTTCAGTGGTTCACGTGATGCTCTTGATATAACAAATGTCATCATATGCAACATTTCTTTTTATATATAAAATGTACTTTGAAATTAAAATATTACCTTCTACCTGTTGTGTTAAAGATAACTATCCTAACATTCGAATTCCATGTCGAATCTTATCTTTGCAATTATGGATGGAGGTGGCTTCCACAACTTTTTCTTTCAATATATTCCACTTGTTAACTACCTGTAAGGAGTACAAGCATTTTCTTACATTTTTTGTACCTCATGTAACACCAGATTTGAGCCTCCCTCTGTTATCACTTATCACTTACCCAGTGGACATCACTGCTGCCTTGAACCTAATTATTAAAAACTGTCACCACTTCTCCTAATTTATATGCATGAATGAATTCCTGGACCTAGGGGAAGAGGAGTCCAGTAACATATCATTAAGTAGGAAACTGAATGCAGGCGATGAGTCACAATAACGTGGCTAAAGTATGTTGACCAGACCACACACTAGAAGGTGAAGGGACGACGACGTTTCGGTCCGTCCTGGACCATTCTCAAGTCGATTGGAAATAGGAAACTGGACTTTAATTACTGGGAAGGATGAATGGTATCTCTTTAAAAGCTGCTAAGCCAAACAAAGGGAATATTTAATATCACACGAGGAACTAGGAGGATCACTGGATCAATCAAACCCTTCAGGACACTTGGACTCAGAAAAAAATAACAACATGAAAATTGATAACACAGGTGAAAACAATCTATGAATCTTTATTAATTAAAAATAATGGTACTTAAGTACATCCTAGTCTAATAATTCCAATGTTTTGTGACAATGGAATGAACCTACCAACTACATACCACTCAAGTGTAACACATTACACTTGAGTGGTATATGTGTTACACTTGCTCTATCCAAGTGTAACACTTTACCGTTCTTCTGTTGCTCTAGCCAGGTGTTGTGGCTCTCCCTGGTGTGGTGTTCCACCTCTCAGCAACACTGCCTCAATCCACAATGACCAATGAGATGATTAAGCCTGAAGGATGGTCCCAACAAGAGGACCGCCCCAACCGCTCGGGGGATCACTTGACTAAGGAGTAATGACAGTGTGGAATGCCAAGGAACAGGAGGGCAAGGAGATGGGTAGGGAGAGGAAGGAGGAAAGGAAGGGAAGGGAAGGGAAGGGAAGGGAAAGGAAAGGAAGGGAAAGGAAGGGAAGGGAAGTGACGGTAGAAGGGAAAGAAGATGGTCTGCTTTCAGCAGGCCGTTTCATTCATTTTTGTGTTTTCAGTTTCCACTTATGTCCAACTTTTTCTTAATATAAAAGTGATGTCCTTGACCGCCTTGTCTATTTCCTCAGTATCTTGTATATTATGATCATATCCCTTCCCTTGTGTGATAACAATGAAGTCGTCTGAAGAACTTGTAACATTAGTTGTTAATTATAGACTAAATTGATGGCTACGAATGACGCTTAACAGTTATATATGTTTACTCTAATTGAAGATTCATTTGAGTCTTGAGAGATAATAGATAATGACTTACATGATGAATAGTGATGAGTGGAGATAATTGCTGATAATTAATGATGGTTAAAAGACTCGTATGATGAGTTAGTGTAATGTTCAAGCGATCTGTTAGGGGGTGTGTCTCCACCAAACCACTGACATTTCCTCTCCTCTTCTGGAGCCAGTAAACCAATTTCCCGCACAAATGGATATCCAAACCAATTTTCCCATCTAAATCACTATCCAAGTCTACTTCCCATGCACTAAGGCATCCAATCCCACTTCTCATGCATTTAGGAATCGCAGCCTATTTCCCAAACACTTGAAAATCCAAGTCTATTTCTCATGCAAATGGGGATTCGTGCCCTATAGAGAAATACATGCGCGCTTCTATTTTTCCCTGCACTCTGTCATCAGAATTAGCAGCTCAGATTAGGATGGTTTGTTGAGCCATCTCGGTGGTCCTGACTGTGCAAGTGCAGCGTTGCAGGTCACAGTCAACACGGTGAGTGTTGAGTGCGTTAGCTTAAATTGTATTCTTACTTGGTTGTGATATGCTGATTATGACGGTGATGGTGATAATGGTGGGGAGAGAGAGAGAGGGGAGGGGAGGGAGAGAGAGAGAGAGAGAGAGAGAGAGAGAGAGAGAGAGAGAGACAGAGAGAGAGAGAGAGAGAGAGAGAGAGAGAGAGAGAGAGAGAGAGAGAGAGAGAGAGAGAGAGAGAGAGAGAGAGACAGACAGACAGACAGACAGACAGACAGACAGACAGACAGACAGACAGACAGACAGACAGACAGACAGACAGACAGACAGACAGACAGACAGAAACTGAGAGAGTAACAGTGCCACAGAGAGAACTGAACTCATCACAAAAAGTAGATTGTATCCTATGTACAAGAAACACTTGCTTGGCCCCACTCTGGTATCACCACGAGATAAATATGGGTATTTATTGCCGGGAAACCAGCAGGAGAGACAGCTATCCCCTCCTCCTCCTCCTTCTTCAAGGAACACTGAGCTGGTTCTCCTTTGCCCAAACGATTCCGATCCACTGGTTGTTGATAGTGACCCAAGCAGTGATACGGTCAGTGAGAATGCCACCGACTCGCTACAATGTCCCCGTCAAGAGCCTACACTGGGTAGTTATTATTATTATTAACATCTTTATTGACAAAATTAATTACAATTTTGCCTAATCTGAGGATTTTGATAAGGCCTTATTAAAGTGAGGATAATGCTGGTATTCACTGTCACGCAGGACTGGTTAGTTGACACGTTCTTAGTAAGACCTAAAAAAAATCCTGGTGTGTTTTGTCCTTCGGGAAAACAGCCAGATGGGTTCACATATGTAAGCATCCACATAAATATTCATATGGACGTATAAATACGCACGTACGCACACACACACACAAACACACACACACACAGAAATCAGGAATCTGTACACCTGTTCATTGACGGTTGAGAGGCGGAACCAAAGAGCCAGAGCTCAACCCCCTCAAACACAACTAGGTGAGTACACACACACACACACGCACACGGCCTCGTAGCCTGGTGGATAGCGCGCAGGACTCGTAATTCTGTGGCGCGGGTTCGATTCCCGCACGAGGCAAAAAGAAATGGGCAGTTTCTTTCACCCTGAATGCCTCTGTTACCTAGCAACAAATAGGGACCTGGGAGTTAGTCAGCTGTCACGGGCTGGTTCCTAGGGTGTGTGTGTGTTTGTGTGAAGTGTGGAAAAAAAGTAGTTAGTAAACAGTTGATTGGCAGTTGAGATGCGGGCCGAAAGAGCTTAGTTAAACCCCCGCAAACACAACTAGGTGAATACAAACACACACACACACACACACACCTGTTGATTGACGGTTGAGAGGCGGGACCAAAGAGCCAGAGCCAAACCCCCGCAAGCACAATTAGATGAGTACACACACACACACACACACACACACACACACACACACACACACACACACACACACGGGGACCAAAGAGCCAAAGCTCAACCCCCGCAAGCACAATTAGATGAGTACACACACATACACACGCACACATACACTCAGCAGAGCCCAGGAAGCAGAGCTCGTTTCCTGGCAACACCATTAGACGAATGTATATTATAAAATGCAGACGTCAGACCACAACACATACACTCTTGAGTGTAAAGTATACCCACACACACACACCCACACACACACACATTCTGGGACACAGAACCCCCTGTACTGATTAACCATAAAACCTCGAATACTAGTAAACAAAAACCCCACATGGTAAACACAAATGCACACACGACCTCTGAATGAATGTTAATGGGACTTGAGGTCCTCTACGCATAGCGGAAGCTGCAAGAGACATGCGGCAACTGTGTGGGTTGAGGGAGTGAGGGGTCCCGCCTCTCTCTCTCTCAGTCGCTCTGTGACAGCTCTCGTAGCTAGACAGCGTTCTTGGAGCTCTTCCTCACGGTAAATGAAATCAGATTTTTGTGTGTGTGAGTGTGTACTTAAATACTCATAGGTTGGAAGATTTGTATTTTAAAGATGAAGTTTACGAATTGTGTGAGATTGGCGGTGTTGTAGCTGAGGTGTGTGTGTATTGGTAGTTCATTCATCGATAAATATCGTTGGCGTTCAGTCAAAATAGAAGTTCCGTGTCTGCTGAAGAAAAATATTCCCTAGGGATACAGCGCTACAGATGTTTTACTGTTAAACTGCTTGACAGTGTGCAACGTTCGCTGTGGTATTTTGGGGAGATTACATTTATCAGTCACGTAACACATTAATAAACTTAACAAAACCTCGTTCCCTACAAGCTCAGCTGCAGAGGTACACAAACTGACTCCCTACCACAACACTGAACGTCTCACAGCAACATAATCTGAAAGGTCCTCAAAGAAAGAATTTGGAACCATAACATAATACCACAACAGTGTTCGGTTGCAAATTTCTCCGCTTCCGCAAAAATTGCAAGACATCTGTCGTTCTATATCAAGTATAACGCGTTATATACGCCTGGCATTCCTGTCCTCAGCGGCTACGACAAGTAACATACCAGTTTGGGTAACGCGGAACTGAACGCGTCACGAAAGCAGAAAATTCGGAAAAACGTTTAGGCACACCACGTCCACCTCACCCCTCCCATGGCGTGCAGTCCGACGGACTTCAAAAAACACATTTAGTAAATATTCGTGTGTTTTCCGAATCAGAGTAATAATTCCAATTGTTAATTATCGATAATACCTGGACTTATTATTTTGTAATATAACTTGGTCTGTGAATGATCAGTGAACAAGATGATTTGATAATTATTTTGCCAATTTTCCACTTATAAAAATGCAATGTAGTAATAATCTATATGAAACTTACTATTTATCAATAATCTATATGAAAACATACAATTTGTCAATATTTATTTATTCATTTACGATAGAGGTTTACTATTTATCAATAATCTATATGAAAACATACAATTTGTCAATATTTATTTATTCATTTACGATAGAGGTATATACATATATGCAAGAATTCTCACAAAAAACACGTGATTTAGTTATTCATAAGTATTCACTAGGAAAATGAATGACAAATTCCAAGCGTTTTCGTGTTTGACCATATCATCAAGGAATACAGACAGACAAGTCAAAAGTTCGGGATTATATATCTAAAATTATATACACATAATATACCTAAAATTATATACCCAAAAGTGACATGAAGTTGGGGTGATTAACTGGATGTTCCCTCATTCTTGGGATATACTTCAGATATACTCATTCTTTACATACTTTTATACATATCTCAGACATAACAATTATATATCTAATTGATATAATCTTGGACTTATATTCATATTATTTGATTCACTACTTTTCATAAATGAAGATTTAATAATATTCCTTTCAGTAACTAATTTGCACTCTAAAATTTTTCATTAATTAGTACAGTCAATTGAATGACTACAATCTCCTAAATGAACAAACAATGCATTGGACTCTTGACCAGTTTTTATACTATATTTGTGTTCTTTTATTGAACAGCTTCTTAATCAGAGCATAAATGGACACAAATACTGTATAGTATAAGAACAGGTAAATACAGTAGTCCAATGCATTGTTTGTTCGCATTCACAGTTCGTATTCTTACAAAAATTAGGTACTATGTCCCTTCACTATGCTTCTCTCACCTCATGTTGCTCACTAATTTATCCCTATCTAATGTACTGCAACTGTGCATGTGGCTTAATCACCCCAAACTACCTCAAACTCATCAGCACTACAACAAATTCTGTCTTAAAACACAACCCCTATGTTTAAATACTTAAACAATGCTAAACATATGTTAACTGAGCACGTTTTCTTCTGTTTTCTACAATTACAAAGTCTTATTCGTTAATATTAATCCTCGTTTGAAACTTTTTATAGATAGAAGCAATAGAATTCATGAATATCACACTAAAAATATGTTGATTTTTATATGCTCAAAGTCAGATTAAGAACAAACACACCATCCGTATAAAGGGAATTAATATAAGGAACTACTAATGAAATAAAAATAACTCTGTCTATACTGTATTCAAAAGTAAAACAATGAAGTAACTAATTTCCATTCTATAGTACTCCAACCTGTGCTCCTAACTCTCCTAAACTATCTATATATATCTAAAATATATATATATATCTTAAAAGGAAAGGTGGATATATCTAAAACTATGACCACCTTACTCCTGTTATTAATGATTATATATAGCACCTATATTAACTATCAAATAACCTCGCTTTCTCAATTTATAACTCAGTTACTAGTGTTATTTCTTTGCTTACGGTTGACCGTTCATCTTGTAACATAAAGTGCATTAAATGTATGCAAAAATACATGCATACATAATGTTATTTGGTGGAAATAAAATACTAAACATGTCCTTCTATATAGTGAGTCTCGGTAGTACAGTGACTACGTTCTCGATTCACAATCAAGGATACTGAGTTTGAAATTATTTTTTTCTTCACCTGATGCCTCTGCTCACCTAGCAGTAAATAGGTACTTGGGAGTTAGGCAACAGTTATGGGGTTTCATCCTAGGAAGGGTCCGTAGTTCGACGTTGTGGGTGACACATCGATACAAGCCTTGAAGTGTATATATATGTATACACAGACTGCTTGTCAGTTTCAAAATGAATTATTATGTTATATGAACCGAAGGCCACCTCCAGGGGGGTTCTCGGAGCCGTTGGAGGCTTCGAGAACCCCACCTCACTTATCGAAGTGAGGGAGGGGCGACGTGGGGTGACTCACAGGGCACACAAAATGGACGCTCGCTGCATCCTCAAAATTATTACCTTTTTGGTAGAAGGCTATTTTTTCTAGCTTGCTGTTGACCCACATATTACTATTACAGGTTTACTATGATTAAAAATTAGTGTGCTTTAACATTAAAGCAAATAACAGAATTACTTAACAGTTTAATAACAAAAAATACTCACAGGCCTTCGAATTTTAATGACAGTCTTAAAATTTAATGATGGGCCATCAATACAATATTTAAATAAAATCTCTCTAAAAAAAACACGAATTACTGAAAAAATTATTCGTGAATTTAGCAGACGCTGCTAAAGAGAGCGGCGGAAGGACTCACGTTTCACAGTTGTCTATAACAACTGCTGCCTATAATAACAGCTGCCTATAACAAAAGCTGGTTATAGCAACAGTCTTCTTCTGAGTCCTCTTAGCAGGCTGAGAGCTTACCCCTTCCCTTCATAGCAATCCTTACCCGCTAGCCTTTCCCTGGAACACGACTCGCCAGTGGGTTAAGAACCAGGTACCCAATTTATGCTGGATGAACTAGGGGGCGAACAGTTAACGATTGGCGCTTAGACAATCCTCCCTGGCCAGGACTCGAACCCAGACCAAATCGAGTGGAGTAGTTTGCTCATTTGGTCGCCTCTGACACGATTTTCATCGAAATATGGTCCTTCTAATCACAGCGTAAAAATTGTGGTGTTTTTTAAATGCAATAAGCACTGCAATATGGACGCATTCTCGGACCAATAAGCATCGCCCTCGAGAGGTTAGGTGGGTTGAGCTGGCCGGGGTTCGAGCCCTTCTGGTTAGGCAAAAAAAACGCTTCATATTTGACGAATGTCAGACCTTGTAAACGTATTGCACAGCGCAGGCAACGGGTTGCACAGCGCAGGCAACGGGTGGCACAGCGCAGGCAACGGGTTGCACAGCGTTGCACAGGTAAACAAAGCGAGGCGGGATCGAATGTGCAAAATTTTTGCTTTGTTTATTGTGTGTCATCGCCTGGTAGACTTGATTGATTATTTGAATAACTAAAGTTATTTTATTACTATCGGTCGAATTTCTACTTTAAGTTATACAGTACAACATGTTAAAGTTAATTTTAGTTATAAGTATTCGTATTGCATATAAGTGTTGAATTAAATGTATATCTATGATATTCATGGCAGAGAGCCGCTTCAGGAACCTCTATGGTAAAATGTTAAATGTGACGAACTTCATCATTACTTTTAATAAAAATCCACATCACATTTCGAATGGTATTCATCATTAGATCTAAAACACAGACAAAGTCATCATTTAAAATTAATTCTCAAAACAAAAAATCTATACTGAATAAGGTTGCTTGCTACAAGGTAGATAACATAATGACACCACTTGATTATCCAAAATAACAACAAACTCAACTTACTTAAGCAAAGTATGATCTCACATTATGTTTAAAAACGACAGAAAATACTTATTCGAAATTTCAATTGTAAACAAAATAATTTTAAAAACTTATACAAAGACAAAAGAATTAAAGAAAATTACAAATACAAATAATTTTTATTATAAAATACAAATATTGCAATATATGAAGCATCAAATATTGTACTCATTATCTTAAGTAAGAAGTAATAATTATTAGACAAGACCTCTCTCAGAATAAGCCCCGAAAGCTCATATCAAAGGGGGACTTTTAAAAATAAATTGTTGTCTACAAGAAGTCTAGTTAAAATAAAAACCAAAAACTACGTAAGATTTACATACTGTACAAATTGAACTTTTGAACATACATACTGTACAAATTTTGTAATTTTAGATTTATAAAAGACCTGGGTAAATACTGGCTCAAAAAAAATGTTTCTTCAAGAGAGGCCTTGGCTCTATTATCTGTACAGATTCCATGATACCTAAATCAGCCTGGCGAATCAGGCATGTATCTAAAATTTTAAAGTCAGACTTCAATATGTTAATTGGTAATCTTTCATTTGTTTCAATTCGATTGTGTTTGTTAAGTGTTTTTAAATTAATTACTTTGTTTACATTTGTAATTCATAATTAGTATTTGCTGTGTTTGTTGGATATTTGGCAAATCCTATTTTTTTTGATCAGTTGATGTAAGTTGAGTTTCTGTGTTTCTTCTCTTTTGAATAATGGATTAATGTGTCATTACATTGAACAGCT